CAGATGTGTATAGTAGAGTGGTTGAGCACCTAGAAAGGAACAAGCTTATGAACGACAACCAGAACGGTTTCAGGGAAGAGGAATCCTGTGTCACAAACCTACGGGAGTTTTATGACAAGGTAACGGAAGTATGACACGAGGGAGAGGGGTGGGTAGATTGTATTTTCTTTGACTGCAAGAATGCCTTCGAAACAGTTCCTCACAAGAGATTAGTGCAAAAGCTAGAGGATCAGGCACGCATAACAGGAAACATACTGCAATGCATCAGAGATTACCTGTCGGGAAGGTATCAGCGAGTCATGGTACGTGAGGAGGTGTTAGAGTGGGCGCCTGTGATGAGTTTGGTTACACAGAGGTCAGTCCTAGGACCGGTGCTGTTTCTGGAATATGTGAACGTCATGACGGATGGAATAGACTCAGAACCGTCCCTGTTTGCAGGCGACATGAAGTTAATGAGGAGAATTCAGTCGAACAAGGATAAGACAGGCCTACAGAGGGATTTGGACATGTTTAGTCCAGCAACTGACTTTGCACCAAGCGCAGAGTCATGAAGATCTGGGAAGGGCAAAGAAGACCACAGACAGAGTACAGTCTAGGGGGCCAACGACTACAAACTTCACTCAAGTAAAAGGATTTTGATATGTGTATAATACCTAACACATCTCCTGAGGTGCACATCAACCAAATAACTGCTGCAGCATATGGGCGACTAGCGAACCTAAGATTAGCATTCTGGCATCTCAAGGTGGACAGAGATAAAATATTCCAGAGATGGAACAGAGTGACAAGGGGTCACAATTGGAAGTTGAAGTCTGAGATGAGTCACAGAGATGTTAGGAAGTATGTCTTCAGTCACAGAATTGCCACGAATTGGAACAATCTGGAAAGTGAGGTGGTGGGGGCAGAATCCATCCATAACTTTAAGAAGAAGTATGATAAAGCTTACGGAGCAGGGACTGAGTGACCTAGTAGCAACTAGTGAAGAGGCAGGGCCAGGAGCTATGACTTGGCCCCTGCAACCACAGTTAGGTGAGTACAATTATATGAGTACACATTCACAATTTGCAAGGAGGTAGAAGAAAGGTTTGTACCTAAGGGCAACTGAAATAATGAGAAGGGCAGGACGAGCCCCTGGTTAACCCAAAGGTGTAGAGGCAAATACCAAATGTGCTAGAGAAAGGAAGAAGTATACAAGGCAAAAAGAGCCTTTAGAATAAGGAGAGTAGTCGAAGAGCCAGAAATGAGAATGCTTGGGTAAGGAAGGAAGGCCAACGACAATACGAAAATGTCAACAGCGAAAGCCAAGTGCTACCCAAAACTGTGGTACAGTCAAATCAGAAGGAAAACAGTCGAGGACCAGGTAATCAGCTGAGAAAGGAAGGAGGGGAGATCACGAGAAACGACCGAAAAGTATAAGAAGAACTCAACATGAGATTCAAAGAAGTATTCACAGAGTAGACAGAAATGACTCCAAAAAGACTGAGCGGTGGGGTACACCGTCAAGTGCTGGACACAATACATACAACCAAGGAGGAGATGAAGAGGCTACTAAGCGAACTAGATACCTCAAAGGCGATGGGGCCGGACAACATCTCTTTGTGGGTCCTGAGAGAGGGAGCAAAGGCGCTCTGTGTACCTCTAACAATCTTCAGCACATCTGGAAATAAATGGTATAAAATACCGACACAATGGCAATATAAACACAAATGCAGTATAATGTGATCCTTTATTGACTACGTTTCGCCCACACAGTGGGCTTTTTCAAGTCACAAACAGAACTACCTGGGGTGGAAGGAACGCGAGTATTTATAGTCCGGCTGAGGTCAGGTGAAGAATGCTGCATCTGATGATGTACCGAGTTGGGTTGTAGAGTCTAAAAACTTTCCAAGCTACCCAAGTTTTTAGACTCTACAACCCAACTCGGTACATCATCAGATGCAGCATTCTTCACCTGACCTCAGCCGGACTATAAATACTCGCGTTCCTTCCACCCCAGGTAGTTCTGTTTGTGACTTGAAAAAGCCCACTGTGTGGGCGAAACGTAGTCAATAAAGGATCACATTATACTGCATTTGTGTTTATATTGCTTCAGCACATCTATCGAAACAGGACAACTACCTGTTAGAAAGGAAGCTGAAGGTATGGTACATCGATGTAGATAGAAAGAATCACCGAGGCATCTCCAAACATCATAGCAATAACAGAGACAAAGCTAACGGAAGTGATAACAGATGTGATCTTCCCATCTGGTTATCAGACTCTGAGGAAAGACAGGGAAAGCAGAGGAGGAAAAAGACTTGCACTGCTAATCAAAAGCTAATGGACTTTTGAGATGGGAGGACTAGTCATATCGGTAGTGAATGACTACATAGTAGGAACGTTTCATACTGGGGGCCCAAAAGTGATGATAACAGTGATGTACAAGCCGTCACTGAACAGCAAGAATCCAAGACAGGAATATGATGAGAGCAACAGAGTGATAGTGGATGCACAAGCCGAGACTGACAGAAGGGCCCACATGAGCAGGACAAAGCTACTTATCATGGGAGATTTCAACCATAAGAAGATTGAGAGAATTTGCAGCCACATGGAGGACCAGAGGTATGGATAGCAAAGATGCTGGAGGCAGTACTGGAAAACTACATGTACCAATGTATTAAGGACACAACCAGAGAGAGAGGAGACAATGAACCAGTAAGGCAAGACCTCATACTCCCTTTGAGCAGTTAAGACATAAGGGATGTTACACACAAAAAACCTCTAGGCCCTAGTGATCACATGATCATGGGTTTCGAATATACAGTAGAGAGTTAACAGTGGGGAGTGAAGCAGCACAAGGAGGACGGATGAAGCCAAAGATCCCAAAAGGGGACTACACAAGTATGAGGCAATTCCTAAATGCGGTGCAGTGGGTAAGTGAGCTAGAGGAAAAGACAGTAAATAAAAAGATGGAACACATAACCACAAAGTGCAGGGAGGCAGTGGAGAAGTTCGTACCCTGGGACAACAGAAACAATGGGAAGACCAGAGAGAGCCTATAGTTTGCCAGGAAGTGTGGAGAGGCCATACAAGAGTATGGAAAGAAAATACAGAAGGCAAAGTACCCAGGAAAACAGGGAGTTGAGCCGGATAAGGATAAGGAGAGAAGTCCAGGGTCAATTTGAGAATGACATAGCATCAAAAGCCAAGCCTGACCCAAAGTTTTTATACAGCCATATCAGGAATAAAACAACAGTCAATAATAAGGTAATCAGGCTGAGGAAGAAAGGAGAAGAGCTCACAGGCAATGACCAGAAAGTATGTGAAGAGCTCAGCTCAAGATTCAGGGAGGGACTCACAAATCGACGTGGTAGGATGCACTAGCAAGTGCTGGACACACTGCACACAACCGAGATGGAGGTGAAGAAACTGCTTGGGGAACTAGATACCTCGAAGACGGTGGGCCCAGATAATATTTCTATTTGGGTTCTGAGAGCAGGAGCTGATGCACTGTGTGTGCCACTAACAACAATCTTCAATAAATCTATCGAAACTGGGCAATTGCCTGAGGCGTGGAAGACAGCAAATGTAGTTCCAATTTTTCAGAAAGGAGACAGACAGGCAGTGCTAAACTACAGACCAGTATCACTGACTTGTATAGTATGTAAAGTCATGGGAAAGGTGATCTGGAGAAGAGTAGTGGAACACATTGAAAGTATTGGGTCTATACATTACACTCAGCACGGCTTCAGAGATGGGAAATCCTGTGTCGCAAATCTACTTGAGTTCTACGATAAGGTAAGATAAGTATGACAGAATAGAGAGGGATGGTTAGATTGTATCTTTTTGAACAGCAAGAAGGCTTTAGACTCAGTACCACACAAGAGACTGATACAAAAATTAGAGGAGCAGGCAGGAATAGCTGGGAAAGTACTGCAATGGATCACTGGAGTTTTTATATTGGCGTCCGGTGAGGGACGTGCAGCAGACATAGGCATTGTCACTGGTAGGCCAGATTTACAGAAAGGAAGGTTTTGGAGATGCCCTCTGAACCAAGATTCCATGATGTTCCACACGTAGAACATCTGGGTACCTTTTTTTTTTGTAGACGTTTCATTATGCAGTGGCTTTTGTACACAGTTCCAGTCTTCGTATTATGATCCAGGAAATGACATTGTGCAATGGACAACAGTTTTCAGAATGAATTCATTTGTGATGGTGTGAACTGTACTTACCAATGTGTACTTACAAATACACTCAGTGGCCACTTTATTAGGCACATTGTACACCGCTCTTTAACGCAAATATCTTATCATACGGCAGCTCCTCAACACCAAGAAGCATGGAGACACGAATGCTCCGCTACTGATTAGCCTAAAAATGTTATTGCAGATGCAGTCTATAAGATGACAACC